TTTGTGTTTCTTTGTAGTTGGTTGTCGTCCGTCTGTAGTTCAGAGGTTCTAAAGGGACGGTTCTAGTGGTTGGAACACTCTCAAAGGTTCAGCCTAAACTATAAACAACCTCAACATTCCTGCAGAGGAAAACAGGTTTTTTTTGTTTTTTTGTGTCCTGGTTTAGTCGCAGCTTCTTGTTCAAAACATTGTTTTTATTTAAGTACATGAGGTGAGTAGAACAACCTACTGAGGTCTGTTGTAGGTACAGATGTTGTGTGAGGTTTGTTACTGCTGCACCTGGAAGTTGTGCTTTCACTTCTTCTCTGTATCGACTGAATTTGGGTGTTTTTCCAGGATGAAATTCCAAAACCTGAAATTCACTTCTGGAAACATGTCAGCGTCTGTTCTCCAACAGCTACACTTCCACTATAGCTTTAACTGAGCTTCACAGCACAAGCTGCAGACATGATTTGTGTCGTTCTGGAGATTTACCACATGAGCAAACATCCAACCAAACAGAGTTTTATGTGCAAAGCTACAAATCCTGCACCAGTCAGGAGAAGAGTCTGTGTTCTTTTAGGCCCTAAATGACTAATTTAATTCTCTTCTGAAGCAGCGAGTGTTTTCAGGTGGAAAGAAAAATTGAATCTAGAGTCTGGAAGTGTGCAGATCTTTGTCTCACCAGTGTTGTCGGGTGATGTGGTCATAATTAGATAATGGTTCCCCTGCAGCACAGAGTTTAATGTAATGACAGTAAACAGAGGAGCCGTGATCGCGTTTAACAGCAGATCTGACATCTAGAACCATGAAGGGAGCATTAAAACGATATAAAGGAGCTAAACACAGGCACAGCAGAGAAACCTGAGACGCAAGCCGACTACAAAGAGACACAAACCGACCAAACAGAGATGCAAACTGACTACAAAGACACAAAACTAAGTATGAGATGCAAGTTGACTATGAAGATACTGACGAAATATTAGAAACCCTATAAAGGAAGGAGATACAGGTTCAAGATGCAGAAAACAATCTGAGTGTAGTCGAGTCAGTTCTCTGGATCTGGATGAGCTCTTACATAATCTGTCTGTGGGTGACTTTCATCTGAGGTAAAGCAGAGTTGTGGACGTCTGGCTTGTGTTTCCCAGCCTGGCAGCGCTGCTTCATCGTGTTTCTGTGGCGCAGAAAGTCTCTGTTTGCTTCAGTCTGATGCTGAGCTCCGTCCAAGTTCCTCATTCCAGCTTCTCTCCGAGCTTCTATAAACTCCTGTGAATGTTCCCGTCCAACACCTCCAGTCCACAGAAACCCTGAGCAGTAAACAGCGACTTCATCCGAACTGTGAGACTGTGAAGGATTCCGTCTGAAGGCAGAGACGAGAGCACAAAGACTCACAGAATGACTGCAGAGACACAAAACGACCACAAATCTACACAAAACAACTGCAAAGAGACAGAAAACAACAACTAGGAGACACAGAACAACTGCAAAGAGACACAAAATGACCACAAATCTACACAAAACGACCACAAAGAGACACAAAATGACTACAAAGACACAAAACAAGCCACAGCAAGCAGACACAACATTACCACAAGCAGACAGCCGGACAACAGCTCTCCTGAATTGTTTGTCTTTGATCTTCTTTAGTTTAGAATCTGTGTTTTCTCCTCCTGAGCATCCAGCATGACTTTTACTTTACCTTTACCTCACTTTGTTTACATTTATTTACCTTTGTTTACTTTTATTTCACGTTGTTTACCTTCTTGAGCCTCTGCTGATGGTTTCAGTTTCTGTTTGCAGCAGCAGCAGCAGGTTTGTTTTTACTGTCTGACCTGCTGCTACTTTATCTTTCAGGATAGAGCTTACATCTGATTTAACCTCTCTGTAATCAGGACATGGTAAGATGTTCCTGTTGAATCTACCCCGGCTACACCCGCCTAATTCCTGCTGCACCCAGCTACAACCAGCTATTTCCTACTA